CTCTTGCTTGCGTGGGAAGCCCCACCCCCCTAAAGCAAAAAAAAAAAAAAACTCTCCAAAAAAAAAAAAAGGAAAGAAATTAGTTTATCAAAGTTGCTGGATATTAAGTCAGCTAAAAGAAATCACTTACAATTACTTACACTAAACAGAAATTATAATAATTTTAAAAAGATATTTACCACAGCAACTAAATACACAAGGAACTTAGGAACAAATAGGACAAAAAGAGATATGTCAGTGCAAAGTGTTTATGGAAAAAATCTTAAAACTTGATAAAAAACATTCAAGAAGACCTAAGTACATTTTATGGAAAATACCATGTTCACAGAAAGGGAGTCAATTTTCTAGATGTCAGTTCTCTCCAAATTAATATTTGTTTTTGTTTCTAAAAAGTTTCAAGTAATTTTAGTTAAAACTCCCAACAGAGCTTTTGAAGGAACTAAACGAGATTTTCTAAGTTTATTGAAAGCGTAAAGTAAAACCCACCAAGAGCAATCAGAACTCACGTATTGATGGTGGAAGTAGAAATGGAGACAACCACTTCAGAAACCAAATTGGCATTATCTTGTAAATCTGAACACTCACACGCCCTGGGCCCAGCAACTGCACTTCTAGGCTGGAGACCCTCCTGCACAGATGTCTTAGAACACATGTGGAATTATACTGGAGGAGAGCTCAGGGCAGGCCCAATAAAGTCATTGCCTCCTCTTCTGTTAGCTTAGCAGAGAGCAAGCTCATCAGGTCTGAATTAGGTCAGCTGATATCAATTGATGCATTCTGGAAGCTTCTCCCTTTTTATTAGCTTTTTTCAAATATTTACTTATTTATTTAATTCTACTTGTTTTGTTTGTTTGTTTGTTTGTTTGGATCAGAGACAGAAGAGAAAAGTGAGAAAGCAAGCCACCAGGTTCAGGACTTGAACCGAGATAGGACATGTGAGAATCCAGTGCCTTTAATCACTACACCACCTGCTGACCCCACCTTCTCTTTTTTAACAGCTCCTTTGGGATAGGACCACAAGCTTCCCTTGTTACATCGCTATGTAATGTTCTTGCCCCTGTTCTTAAATATACTGAGTATAGAGTGGGAGGTTACCTTTCTGCCTGAACTTTGGTCATGGTGCATGCAGACTGTCCATGCTCCACATAAACTGGTATGAGAGTTTAGAGAAATATGTGTGCTCTACTAACTCTCTGTTTCTCCCAGAAAATCCTATTTCACATCTGCCTTACTGCAGCCCTAGAGGTACACATCAGATTCTTTTACATAACGGTATCGTTGTAGTGGCAAGAAAATCAAGACACCATAAATGCCCATCGACAGAGACATAAATAAACTTTGATATGGTCATAGAATAGAATGCTCTACAGCAACAAAAAGGAATAAACCCACGTCATAGGTATCGGTATGGATGAACATGAGAAATGGAACTGAATAAAGCTGTGAGTGACTACAAACAACGTGATGCCGTTTATATCAAGTTACAGTTTCGGGCTGCACATAATTGAGAGGGATTTACCTATGAATAAAACCATAAAGAAAAGCAGGGAAATTTGGCTGAGAAAGCTGGATCCCACATGACTGCCATGCAGTTCAAATCCCAGCCCCCGTGGCTTGAAGAACATAGCAGGTATGTGTGTGCGTGTGTCCAAAATCCAGACAGGATGGAGAAATAGAGCAGAAGAGATTGCGACATGACCATGCCCTGTTAGAGAATGCGTCCTCCTTCTCCCTCTTTTTTTTTTTTTTTTCAGAGAGGTTTTTGCTATAGGGCGTGTGCACTCACCAGAAAGAGAGAGATAGAGAGACAGAGAGACAGGAAGCGAAAAATCACTCCCCAGGGGGGATGGCCATGCCACAATCCCTTCTCCTCCATT